GAACCAGAGCAAGCCCCAGGTCACATACAGAAGTGGCCACCTTCATTGCATTCAGGTCCCCAGATTTTGGGGGAAGGAAGATCAGCTCAGGGCTTTAGAGTAGGCTGGCAGTCTTGCAGTGGCCCCCAACCTGATCACAGACCACCGTACAAGCAGTAGCCAGGGGAACGAAAACCAAACCCAAACCTTTTCCAAGTTCATTATGGAAGGGGACAGGGAGATGGAGAGAAATAGGAAAACAGCTTTCTTCCCCCTTGAGGTACTGTCTCCATTTTACTAGCAATGTGTTAGCATAAACCAACACACATGCTCACAGCAGGGCTGTAAAACCTGTTACAGCATTTCAAAGCGACTCAGGTAACCTTGTTCGTAGATAGTGATTTATGCATATGCAATCACTCCACTACACCATCCCTACCTACATCTGCAGACATGTTATGCTCAGTGCTCTCTCTTCTCTCAGCACCTCCTGACCCGGCAGTGCATGGATGCACACATGAAAAGGGAATGGACACCCCTGTCCCAGTGGATTATCTGTCAGTACCGGAAAGGACTGTAACCTAAGCCCATCACCCTTCCCAGTCCAACATAAACTCAGGAGTGGTGTTGAAAGACAAATCAAAGCGCTCCACTTGGCCAACTCCCAGCGCGCCTTCCCTTCCTGCCTGCTGTTGTGAGACACCACGTCCTGCTGAGAGATCCCCTTCCCCTCGCACCCACCCCACCTGCCCCGAGCTCCAGGGCCCCCTTGGCTTGCTGCACACACTTTCTCTGGAAGCCCTCAAGTTCAATGCCTCCCTGTAACTCCCAGGAGTTCAGATCTGGGGCTGGAACAGCAGAGCCAGTACGTAGCACTGGAGAAGCTGTTCTGGGGTTTGAAGCCCTGCCCACCTCTACAACCAGATATTTCACTGAACTATTAATTTAGCTAACAATGTTCTACGGTGAGGTGTTGCTAGTGCTTCACGCAAGGCTCTGGAGCCTTTTGCCTAAGGTGACAAATCCTTTTCTTAACCCATTTGTTATACCCTGACTGCGTGCGGCCCCTTGCCCCATACCTCCCCCCTGAATTCCCCAAAGCTGATGTTTTCTGACCATCCGTAACTGTGAGGCCTGGTCCCATCACCTACTGGGGTCAACCAATCTTCTTACATATTAAGCCACACTTCAGCCACCAAATACTCTACCCCAGTGGTTGTTGCTGTGCTCTCTCAGGGTAGCCACAGCCGGGAAGAGCACCGCAGGACAGTCATCTCCTTCCCAAGTGACCCCAGTCTGGTATCTCCCTCAGGCAGAAGGTGCTTACCTCTTGTTCAGCACGCCAGGTCCCTCCAAGTGTTGCTTGCCAGTGAAAGCCTCCATCCCCTTTCTGTCAGAGGTTCAGGTCAGTAATACTTAACCCAACGTTGCACCTGAGGCTCCCTCGCACCTCAAAGACCCCTGCAACTTCAGTGAAAGACTTGGCCAAACCAGAACAGCACCCTCAGCTCCAATTTCTGCTGAGCTATGCACCACAGCCCCTTATGATTCAGATAGCTGAGCTCTGGGCGAAGGCCAAGGGAACTGGTCCCTCTAGCAAAGCCTGTTCCTTCCATCAGCTTCCACAACCCACAGCGGGAGAGAAAGTGCCACGAACAGCAGCGATCGGGTGTTGATTTGGTATCAGCACTAAGCCACAAATGAGACCGAGCATGCTGAACTCGTATGTAAAGACACAACTCTCAAGGCTAAGAGCCTAGGACGAGGCTGATGAGCAGATTATCTTGTTTGTGCCAAATTCCTGCTCCTTACACCTTCCCACAGCACACCTGCAGCCAGCTCCCACAGCATATTTACCTACACAGCTCCAGTCCATCAAGTCAGGTCTTCCTCTGAGGGGCAGGAAGGGACCAGCAATGGCTGCACACCCATCACAGGCTCTGTAGGGTGGTAGCAGCGTTATTTCCTTTCCCTGCCCACCTCCAGGAGCTGTACTGCCAACAGCCCAGGGCTGGGCACTGACAAAGCACCAGCAGGATGAGGGGGACAGATCAAAAGCAGAGAGATCTAAGGGAGGGCAGGAGGCAGGACCCAGCACACCCCCATCCCACCCTTCCTGCTTCCTCCTGGGCTTTAGTTCAGTGCTTTGTAGCCTAAATACATCCATCTCTCCCCAAGCAGAGAATCACCCATTTGGATGTTTCTCTCCACCAGTGTTTATACATGTGCTGCTTATCTCCACAACTGTTGCACTCTGTTTTTTCACTGCACAGCAGCATCCTGTGGATTTTTCCAGCAGTCGAAGCCACCAAGGAGATCTGCTGGGCAGGGCGCAGCTGTGAGGCCAGGTACTCCCTGTTAAAAGGGGCTTTCCGGAAGAGCAGGTACCAAAGACTGTCTAGGTAAGAAGGCTGCTCCCACATTCCTCGGGCATGGCCGCTCGGTCTTTCTGAGCTCTCGGCACGCTGGTGATGAAAACTGGAGGTGGGGAGAGCCGCACCCACAGGTGCTGTTGAGGCGAGATCCCCGCACGTTGTTTTAGCAGAGCACAAGCTCGCATCCACACGAACAAGGAGCACCGGCTTTTCCTCCCCTCGACACTCCTCCTCCCCACCAGGTCCAAATAAGGAACTCAGCAATGAGTCCTGCACTTCATAATTCGTGTGCAAACTAGGAGAGAAGACAGGAGGCAGAAAAACCTGTTCCCTCTCCAGTCATGCCCCCCCCCCCCACCTCCATTTGCTCCCCATCATGTGAGACTTCAGGTGTTCAAAGCAGTCACCTACCAGTCTTTCTTCCGGAGTGATAAATGAGTTTGCATTTTACTGTGGCAGGGCGGATCAGAAAGGTCTAGAACAAGAGTGACAAAAAGACAGCCTCAAAAAGGTTAAACCACATGTTTGCAGGGCCCCTCCCGGCCACAGCCAAGGAATGCTTGAAGGCCAGAAAAGCTTTCTTTTTTTTTTTTTGTCTGAAAGGATAAGAGGAAGGAGTGGGACAATCGAATCTGGTTTCAGTTTATTTCCAGAATTTTACTGTACAAAATATGCAAAGTGTAAAACGGTTTTATGTTTCAGTTTAAAAACAAAAAAACCCCATCCAGCTATAACTTAAGAGAACCCAGCTTGGAACAGAACAATTTACTAGGCTAGACCCACAGTGCATTAATGTCACAGACACCAGGAAATTTGCTTACTTAAGTTCACAATTAGAAAAGAACAGAAAGACCATGTACCATTGCGGTTAAAGTTACATGTGCAAAGAGAAGGAAAAAAAAGAAATAAATGCTGGTTAGTGTCTATTAATTAGAAAACCTTGGCAAAACCCATCTTACTATACACAGTTTGTGTAGAAAAAGAGTATTACACAGTGATCAAAAGAGGGTGCGGGAAGGGCGTTTGCTCCCACCCCCTTCCCCAAGACACGATAATGCTGAATCAAAGAAACAGGCACAGAAGAGTGTAAGGTTCCTTCACAGTTACATCTGTGCAGGTAGCGAGCCACAGCATCCCCCCGTGCACGCAGGAGATACCCCCAAGCATCGTTAGCGCTGGTGAGAGGTGCCCGGGAAGCAGCCAGAGGGAAGGATTCCTTCTCTCGGCAGAGCACACGTAGGGCAGGGCTGGCTGCCTGCTGCTCGCAGGGCTTCAGTATGTTGCAGGGATAAAAACACAGTCTCTTGGAGGGATTCAGAGGGGCGGATAACACCAGCTGTACTGCTGGTGTGGCGGGGGCCCAGCTCAGGAGTATCCCAAAGCCACCCGCACCGGTCACAGAGCAGTTGTTGGAAACGGCAACTTTTGGTCAACATTTATCAGAGGCAGCAGCCTGAACGCAGGAGGATGCATATTCCTGTAGGAGACTTCATGGCCCAAAGCCATCTCTTTTAGGAGAACAGAAATTTGGCGGGTTTGGGGGGTTTTAATTTAAAAAAAAACAAAAAACAAAAAGCAAAAAAAACCAAACCAAAAAACCCCCCAAACCCCCAGAGTGCTCGATCCCAAGAGCGCTTCCTTCTTAACACAGTTTAAACACTGAACCACCGAGCCTGGCTTGAGGCTTTAGACATGTATAGTGCACACACCTATAAGGGAAAAAGCACACAGTCACACAAGCTGAATGAGAAAACAGACATCTGCTCACACATCTCGTGAACAGCTCTCATACAGCAGGGCAGAACCGAGCGCAACCAAAGAGCAGAGTCTGGGATCAGACTTCAGTTTTACCTTTGGAAAGGGCAGATTTACAAGTTTTGGTAAGCAAGATGAAATTGGCTTGAATAGGTTTCCATGTTCAGCACAGTATGGATCTTTCCAGTTTCTTCAGCAGCAAGTGCTGGAAACGAGCACATCAAGACTTTTAAAAGCTACTTCTGCAAGGCCAGCTTCAGAAACTGCTTCCCCGCAGCTTTTGGCATACTTGGCAACAGCTGATTCCCGAGGCTTTGCATGGAGATCCTCATCCCAAAGGAAAAGGCTAAGAGGCTCTGTGAAGGCTGGGATTTGTTCAGACCTCCCCCAAACTTGCGCCTTATCATGAGCGGCCCCCAAGCTCCAAACTGTAGCCCCCCAGCACCTCTCATCCCAGTGGATACTTGTTCTGCCTCACTGGGGAACTTTGGGAAAAACACAGGGAAGGGAGGATGGGAGCTGGAGTGACTGAAGTTGCTGGCAGGAAAATTTTTAGAGGCAGAAGTCAGAGGAGTAGCTGGCAGAGGCTGAAATCAGATCTGCCTTCCTCTGCAATATCCCCCTTTGTGGGGAGATTGCTCTTGAAGGCACCCAGGACAACCCCAGAAGCAGGAGCTGACCTTGCTCTGTGAGCAAGCTGCATCACACCACCCTTTCACGCATGGTGCATCCCACCCCAGCTACGCTGCTGCTTACAGGGCCGTGTGGGTGGCAACGTCTCCCCTCCGCAGGGTGAAAACTGGTAGTCGCAAGCAGCCGCCCCACCTCCCCAAGCTGACCACGGGGGCTTGGTCAGGGACTGGTACAGCATGGAGGGGAGTGCTGAAACGCTTACACTTCTGAGAGCACTGCCTGCTCTTCTCCCGTGAGCAGGAAAGGAGTCTGAGACCTGGGGCAGCCCCCCAGAGCCTACACAAGGATGGCTGCAGCCACATGGCAATGAAAGGCGAACAGATGTGCTAACCGCCTTTGCCCAAGCCTAGTTACAGGACTGGCAAGGTATTAAGGGTCTAGTATCTGCCCCTACGCTCCTAGAAGCTGCAATAAATCCAAATCTTTCATTATTTAGCCATGAAAGAGAAAGCCTTCCAGCCTTCATGGAAACCCACAGCCATTTCCATCTGCTCTGGAACAGCTGAAAGTCCTAGCTGCATCTGGTTTTGGAAGATCTCAGCATGGCTTTGGATTTAGGCTGTAATAAATCTGAGAGCAAAAAAACAAAGCCTTTAAAGTATCCAAGCAGCATACCTGAGTCACAGGAAAAACACCAACATGGAAGAGAGGAGTTACCCAGGGGCAACATCACTCCTGGCTAGGCAACATGGCACCCTGTTGAATGGTTCAGCCTTTAGTGAAGGATGTCCAACGAAAGGAACGTTGTCCACTTGACGACAAACAGGGTTGTCTTATAAACCACTTGAATTCTAAAAAAAAACAAACAAACCCAAAACCCCAATTCCCAGCCAGGTGCATCCAGGAGAGGAGAATATGTGCAAGACGACAATGCAGGGTAGGAGAGGCATTCGGAGGAAAACAGCCTGCGCTTGGCTGACAAACCCTACAAGCCTTATTTATGCTCAGTTCTTGGCAAGCTCTGCAGAAGTAAGGACTACAGGATTTGGATCAGAGCTTCTTTTCTCTGTGACTTGATTCTTACTCATTAGCTGGCTATAAACAGAGTTAAACAAAACAGTCTGCTCTCACCACTCAGTATTTTTATAAAGAGTCTGAATTCCTACAGATGCCACAGATCCATCTGTGGGTCTCAAAGCACTTGATGACAAGTTGAGTTTAGCCTCACAACAAGCCAGTGAGGTAGGTATGACAGTGGTCCCCTGATTTTGCATGGAGCGGGGAGACAAGAGAGACCCTGAAAAATAAAATGTCATTAAAAAAAACGACAACAGGGAATACTCAGGAGTCCCGATTCCCCTTTTAGTCTGTCCTCACCCCTAAGGAGTTTGCATCTCTAAAGAGAGTGTCTGAGAGGCCAAGTCCTCTCCTTCAGATTTCATCAGGCAAAGCACTCACGCTGCTGACATAGGGAAGAATGTTTAATGTAGGAGTTACGGTCCCCGTTGACAGTGTCCTTTTCGGCAGCAGGCAGAAAAGGCAGCACTGAACCACAGGACACAGATGAGGAAACAGACTCGGAGCGAGCTCATGCCGCTTCCCTCTGGTTCTCCATGTGTTCAAGGGTTTAACACAATTAAGACATGAGTTTCCTGAGCAGATACTGTCAGACAACCCCCCTTGTGGGGGAGGGAAAAGGAAAGGGGAAGGAAATCCTGGGAACGTAAGAAAGTTTTGCAGAGGTGCCTGAGACAAGGTGCTCTCATGCACATGGCATACCCAAGCCCCGGCAAGGTGGTTCTTGTTCTGGCTTCACAGAAATGAGCCAATTCAGGCACAGGCAGTAGCCTCCACACAGGCATAAGTGCTCCACAGTCTCCCAAGCTACTCCCAGTCTCTCTCACCTTGCTGGTTATGCACATCATAAAAGCCAGATACATGCATCTTTAGGAGAGCCAGGTGTGAGATACTATATGCTTCCCTTCCTTTTCTTTAAGGAGGGAATAAAATAATCTATTTTTTCAAAATAAAATACTGGAGAAGGTCACAGTCAATAAAGGAGTCCCCATACAGACTACCAGAAAGCCTGACCTAGAAAGAAACCCAAACACTAAGTTTAGAGAAGGGAAAACTCTACCTACTTCCCATCCTTTAAGGGACGTGGGCCTGATCCCGTCATGTACTGCGCCATCTAGTTTCTTCACAACCACGTCTGGCGCATTACATGGAGAAGACAGGATCCAGGTGACTACCACGCACTTGTAAGAAAGGTGCAGGAGACTGCAGGTGTCACTTGGATGGGGAATCACCACTTTGGACCCTCGCTCACCAGGGTGCTCCCTTGATCCCAAGATGACCATCCACAGGTGCTGTTGAACACGTAGCTCCATTGCTGCTGAAGCTGGAAGAGGCCCCTCCCCAAGGCGGAAGCCCCCTCCCACCAGCTTGTGGTGGGCACTGGGCACTGGCCACCAGCCATGCCATGCAGGACTGGCGGAGACCCACGCCCTGGCCTTAGCCGGGCCACCTTGCACTGGTGGGAGTGGGGGGCAGCCCCACGAGCTGGTGAAGGAGCCCAGGGAAGGCCTGGGGAAGGCCAAAGGGGACAGGAAGGGCTGTCACAGGCCCCCTTGGAAGACGATGCACCCTGGCAGCAAAAGGTACTGGCTTACGTACCTTGCTGAACTAGGGCCCTCTGTGTTAAGACATCTGTATGGAGGGCAGGTCAGCTCCTGCCTGATAGAGATATTTGCATGGCAAAAGACTGGGCAAAATGAATCGAGCATTTGGGGGGGGGGGGGGGGGGGGGGGGGGGGGGGGGGGGGGGGGGGGGGGGGG